CATGAATATTATAAAACGCATATATTTCCGCGAACATCGATAACACAATTGTTTCCCACCGAATAAATTGTGAAACACATCTTCCACCACTGTTTTTATTATAACCAGTGGAACTCCAAAGACTCCTGTTATGGCATAAACACTGCCGCTAACCTCAGCCAAGGTTCGATCCTCAGTACGGACATTTTCGATCTTCCATAAAATGTAATTTCACGACTCGTTCAACGCGAAGTGGTGTACTTCTCCACGTAAACTGTAGGACTATCCAATCCTCGAGTATCACCTTCATCCGTGATGTAATAAACACTAGTGCCAAAAATACTTCGCAATTAACTTCCCGGAGGACATTGAAGTTTCACGACCCTTTTTACGTGAAGTGGCGTAAAACTCAGTGAAAAACGCGATATTCGCGGTGATATGATGCAGTAGTCGTGAAATATGTTTTTCATATCACTAGTGTGGTGAAAGTCCAATTTTCTCAGCATTCACGTCCTATAACATCACTTCACGTTGAACAGGAGGAACCCCAACACACTACTATTACCTTTATATTGGAATTCAACTTCGCCAAACCGTTTCTCGCCAGCGCCAGACATACAACATTCCCATCAGCTCGGGAATTATGATAATTCTTCCAATTATGCCTACCGATACCACAACAACAACAACTACGATTAAACTCCCACAGAGTAATACCGGATGTAGTTTCACCACTCTAGTGATATGAAAAACAACACTAGTGAAAAGCATATTTCACGACTACTGCATATCAGGTTTTTCACAGAGTATCACGCCACTTCGCGTAAAACGGGTGATTTCCTATTGATTTATGTTCTCCCGAAAAATTACAGCGTTGAAGTAGGAATATATGTTCGCTTTCCTCAGCTGAGCTCAGGAGTTTCCTATACAGTGTTGGAGTAGGAATATATGTTAGCTCTCCTCAGCTGAGCTCAGGAGTTTCCTATACAGTGTTGAAGTAGAAATATATGTTCGCTTTCCTCAGCTGAGCTCAGGAGTTTCCTATACAGTGTTGAAGTGGAAATATATGTTCGCTTTCCTCAGCTGAGCTCAGGAGTTTCCTATACAGTGTTGGAGTAGGAATATATGTTCCCTTTCCTCAGCTGAACTCAGGAGTTTCCTATACAGTGTTGGAGTAGGAATATATGTTCGCTTTCCTCAGCTGAGCTCAGGAGTTTCCTATACAGTGTTGGAGTAGGAATATATTCTCGCTTTCCTCAGCTGAGCTCAGGAGTTTCCTATACAGTGTTGGAGTAGGAATATATGTTCTCTTTCCTCAGCTGAGCTCAGGAGTTTCCTATACAGTGTTGGAGTAGGAATATATGTTCTCTTTCCTCAGCTGAGCTCAGGAGTTTCCTATACAGTGTTGGAGTAGGAATATATTCTCTCTTTCCTCAGCTGAGCTCAGGAGTTTCCAAAGCTCATTACACCCTTTTTACACGAGAATTCGGCTAGAAATGTACAGGACCCCAATTTTCCTAAAAATCTTCACCAACACATACAGTCCATCACATATATATTTCTCCCACCCCAACAATTATACTACATAAGACTAACTCCGCCACAAACACTCCCAGGCTCCAGCATGAGCTCACTTCCCTCTCCGTATTGGCTTCGTACCCTCCCAGACTGAATCTACCAAGCAATCGTTAACTAACCGAAATTTCCCAAAATTTCTACCTTTTTTTTCAACACCATAAATTGCGCGCAATAATAATGGAGTTTCACCACCCTAGTGATATGAAAAACATGTTTCACGACTACTGCGTATCACCGCGAATATCGCGTTTTTCACCGAGTTTTACGCCACTTCACGGGTGAAACTCCTATGATATTACTCACGAGTGTGGGAAAATTCATATAGTAAACTCCTCAATTGGGCTCTCAAAAAAGACAACATATATTCCGAAACCACAACAATTTCAATTCAACCAGTGTAAAGGGAAATATGCACATGGTCATCATCTCCATGTGTTGGTGATGATGACAATAATGAAATTTGAAAAATTCTTATTGCTTTCTGCACACTTCTACCCAAATTCGCAAATAAACTGTTTATTACACCTTCGAAAACTCCTATACTCAGCTGAGTAAAGCTAACATATATAACCTCCCCCCCACTAGAAACCCAATACTACTATGAGCAGCCAATCCCCAGGATCATCCCGTCGCAGTATTTGCTTATTGTCATCAAATTTCTGCACAGAACCTAACATCAGACTTCCTGAGAAGAAATGCAACCCAACTAGAATCCAGATCTGATAATGCGAAATTCTCGATACGAAAAAATTCCCATTTTTTCTCAGCAAAGATACCGTAAAGTTTCATTCAATCAGCTGAGCTCAGGAACTCCTCACGTGTTATACGAATTCGGGTAGAGCGCTCGGAAACCAACGAGAATTTGCGCATATTTTCTCACAATTTTCATATTGTCATCCCACCTCCACACTAGCGCCTTCATTTTTTGATAAAACCTTCCCCACTGTTTTCACAATGGAGTTTCACCACCCTAGTGATATGAAAAGGAATATATTTCACGACTACTGCGAATATCATCGGTTTTTTCACCGAGTATCACACCACTTCACGTAAAACAGGTCGTGAAATTGCAGTGTATTTCCCAGACCTACAAATAGATGCCAAGGACTTCTTATCAGCGTCACTCAGAGTGGCAAAGTCTGGCTCGTCGCTGAAGAACTTGACTACATGTGCCAAGCTCCTGCCTTGCAGTAACTTCATCACCTTCTTGAAAGTTCGCCCATATATTTCCCACAACACCTATGCACACACAGACGAGATTTTATCAAAAATTCCAATACCAAAATTTCGCACAGATGAAAACGGAGGAGGAATACTTCTGAAAATTGCTGCTGAAAACTCCTAAATGCTGAGGAGCCGAGAAATACTGTTTCCGTGCTGAAACAGAATGCTAAAAACTACTAAAACATGAAATTCTGACAAGAATTGTCCCACCGCAATCTGAACCAGATGCACACACTAAAGACGAACTAACAACAATGTGAGAAGATGTGCACATGGTCAACTACATATGTTGATGACAATATCGGAATTTTGGGAGGAAGTCACTGTCAATTTCTACTCGAAATCGTATACTTGGAAACTCCCAAGCTCAGCTGAGGGAAGCGAACATATATTTCCCAACACTGACTCACCCTCGGAGTTTCACAACCCGTTTTACGGGAAGTGGCGTAAAAGCCTATGAAAAGCCCGATATTCGCGGTGATGAGCCGTCAATATGAAATATATTTTTCACTACTGTTTTTCATATCACTAGGGTAGTGAAACTCCATCGCACTATAAGCCAACACATATTCACACAACTACAAAGCTCATCGCCCCTACTACTCCAGTTTGCTTGCACTTCACTGTTGCCGTCCTCTTCACATTATATAACATGGCGAGCTCTCCAAAGGTACTCCCTTTCCCCAACGTTTTAACATTAACCTCATCAATGCTAATCTCAAATTCTCCGCTTTGCACCGCATAGCACCGATCGCCATCCTGAAAAAATGAGGAAATCAAAATACACATCAAAATTCCTTGTCTTTGTCTTTGCACAGTACATTTACAATAACAATTCTTATATATACTATTGATAAAATTAAAATATATTTTTTATTACTATTTTCATAATACTATCAAAGTTTCACCCGTTTAACGTGAAGTGGCGTAATACTCTATGTGAAAAACGCGATATGAAGTGAATTGAAAATACTTGGCGAATCATCCCATATCACGTAAAACTCATACCACGTGTTTTACGCGTTATTCGCTGCTCACAATTGTATTCCGCGATGTGAAATATGTTTCTGAATTTTATTAAACTTTCAAAAGTTTTCGAAAAAAATTTTCCCTCATAAAAAATTTGAGCAAATCCATGCAATTCAATTTAGAGCACCGGAATACACTCGATCGTTTTCCAGCAAATTTCTCAGTCCCGCG